CCACTTCCTACCTGACATCCATTTATTTCTCAGCCGTCACCTGTTAAGTCAGCCTTTTTGACCTGGTATCTGTCTGGACACAAACTTGTCTGAGGCACCACCTGCCTTCAGGGAGGAACACTGCGGATAGTTTCCCACTTATCTTTAAACGATCTCTAATTCCGTGGCCTGCAGGCTCCATGCACTGAGGGTCTGCCCTGTTCTGCCCTGCGGCGCACAGGCCCACGGCGAAGACAGTGGCAGGTGCCCAAGATGTCTCCATGAATGCTTGTTCTGCTCTTTTAATACCTGAGTTTTCAATCATCAGTTCCCAAATGTCCACACTGAGCTGCAGTAATCCACTATTTATAAACACTCTATTTTTAAGCCCGCCAAACTAATTGTCCGATGTGGCCTAAATTAAATGTGGCAAAGACATTTCATTCTTCTCTGTCTCATTTGCCAAAGGCTGTGGCCAATGCCTTACCGAATTCCTAAACGGGAGACTTTTACTTCATGTAACAATCTATTGCCAAATTGTGTGGTCCCCCATCACTCCACATTATATTTTAAATATCTTACTGTTGTCTTATTTCCCAAGATACAGATATTGTTATTGATAGCTCTGGAAGATGGTAGGTGAGGTTATTTTAATCTTTGGATTCATTAAACTCAGAACTATTCTCACAAACAATTCTTCACATTGCTGGTAAGGGTATTTTCCCATCACTGTTTGACCTATTCAAACAATATAAAGACTTTCATTCCACTAACCGGATTGGGAAATGGTAGCAATTAAATATGCAGACCCTAGAAACAATCTGCTTGGGCATGGATCATATCATACTAACTGAGAAACCTAGAATGGTTCTTTTACTCAGGCTGTCTTAATCTCCCCCTGAGTGATATGAGAAAGATCACACTGCCGGACTCTCAGAGTTGGAGGATTCATAAGATATCACAGCACAGGGGAGCTGTGATCGCCATCTGCAGAAGGCCTTGCCTTGATCCAGATCCTCCCGGACCAGAAGCCCATTCCCTAGTGGCAGCACTAGAACTGTATCCCCACTGCCAGGCCTCCTGAAGCCCACCTGCAGCTCTGTGCATGCCTCGATGCCAGGCTGCCTCTGTAGGCCATGGACCCGCTGGAAACTGCTGGCACTGACTATGGGCTGCCTTCGGCTCACATCCTGCTGCTCCTTGGGGCCTTCTCCTCTTTCTGGAACAGCCTCTGTTGCCTGCTATGCTTCAACCCTGCCTCCAGGACCTCTTCATTTTCCACCTGGAAAGTTCCCCTGTCTAGTGGTGTTCTTTAATGCTAAGATAGCACGGCCTCTTTATCCAGTGTCACAAAATCTGTTTAAGGGTCCAACTTCAATATGGCCATTTATATTATAAATATACTTTTGATCGAACTTGTTTCATTCCTAAACTGAAGGGATAAGGAGCACGTATTTATCAGGTATAGAAGGGGCTGTGTTAGGTACCGTGGAGTAACTCAGTGCGTCAAACAGCTATTATCTAGGAGGGTTCATACAGCACCCAGATGCTCACAGGTGCCTCTGAAATGCACAAGAACACTTCCTGTGTTTTTCTTTTGTTGCTGCTGCAGACAAGTTAAACTGTGCATTGCACTTCCGTGTTGGACAGAAGTATATGGCCTAAGAATAGAGGCAACATTTTCTTTAAAGCTGATCCTAAGAAATTTCAGAGGTGGGTTTTTCATCTGATAGATTGGGAACTACACTGTAGTACAGAAAAGACACAACCAACTCCAGGCTTGGCATGTGTACAGGCGTGCACACCGCCCCGCATGCACAATGTGGGGCTTGCTCAGTGCGTGCATGAAACGGCCGCTGAAGCCAGCGCTGAGAACTAGACTCAGCTGAAGTTGACCCAAGACATCCATTCAAACCAAACTAAGACAACAACTGCAGAAATTCCAACAAGTTCTGCTCCAAGTCCATCTCCAGCCCCTTCTGAAATCAGAATGAGAAATGAGAACAGAGACACCTGCTGCTCCGGGAAGCCTCCTAGGGCCTGACAGGCAGCTATTCCTTCTGGTTCCGGGAGGCCGCCCTGAGGCCACCTGCCTGCCTTTCCAAGATGTGACTTTAGCTTCCGTGGCTGAAAAGACAGTTTTCTTCACAGCCCACATCTTGGGCCTTGTGTCACTTCTGATTAGGGTTCTGGTCTCTGAAGAGACCAGCGGATCCCACGAAATATACTTAAACATTTCTGGGAGACAATTCACAGCTTTCACTCTCACTTGCAGAGCATGCGTAGTGATTACAGAACGGGGAGCAAAAGGCTTCAGGGGCAAATTTATTAGAACTGCTGTCACAGCACAAACGACGTGCCTGCCCACAGATGTTCACATGAAAAGGGAAGAAGGACCACGAGTCTTGAGAAGAGACCACGGGGCTCAGCTGTATGTGGCTACTGAGGAATTTTTGGAGGCAACTGCCAATGATATGAATTTTCAAGGGAACATATTTTCCCTTTGGCCTGCTGGTAAGTGTCAGCAGATGTACACAGTCCCATCTTGGCTAAAAGTAAAGGCCATTAGCCTTACCTCTGCTTTTGACATTTAAAGCTCTCAGACTCAAACCGAAATCAAAGGGAGATTCCAGAAAACTAAGGCAATGTTTTGCTTACATGCCTCTTCTTCAAATACCTCAATAAGGAGAGTTAAAAATATACTCTCCTAGGACATACTCAATGAATGGAAACTACAGACCGTCAATTTATCAGAGCTAAAGAAATCTGCATGTGCGAAACAGCCAAGGTCGTCCCCCAGAACACAGGGTTCAGGACATTCTCACTCACCCTTTGCCACCTTGGACTAGTGTCTGGGAAATTGTTGAGATGCAGACATGGAATCACAACTCTGTAGTGCTCAGACTCACAATTTCATGTAGCTAGTGCATTTTCTCATTTCATTTTCTTCCAGGCCTTTACCATTTCTTTGAAATTCCAGAAGAACTTCTGGAATGACCTTCTTCTGGTCAAGACGGTCAATGACCTTCTTCTGAGAGAAGGGAGGGATAAATAATGCAAGACCAGTCCCCTCAACTTCTTATAATTTCCACCTGATCTAAGCGTTTCTCATCCTAGTGGTATCAGAAGTTGAAGTCTTAAATGCATAGTAGAATATACATGCTACCTCAATAATATCTGATAATACAATTTGTTTTACTTTTTTGTCTTTATGCTTTAAAAGGGACTAGTATCAGGCCTCGCTGGTGGCACAAGGAGTTAAGATGCAACCTATGAAGCTGTCCACAGCCTCTGCAGCATGAGTTCGATCCCCGGCCAGGGAGCTACCCACATGGCACAGCAGACCTCTCCTGTCTCGCCCGCTGCTCCCCTCAGCCGTGTATTTCAGTCAGCCTGCCTGTTCTGCTCCCCACTCTGTCTCTGGTGAATCCTCTCACTCCCGGATCTTTGGCCTGTACCCCAGTTCTTGTGTGCATAAATAAAAATAACAAGATCTTAAAAAAATAAAAAAAAGGGATCAGTATCTTCAGCTTTGGAATATAAATGGAAAATCAGGAAGCCTCAAAATCCTCATAATTCCTGTAACTAATGTCAAAGAAAAACAAGTACAAAATGGGGGTATCAGCACACACTCCAATCAAAAATCTACTAAACGACTTTATCTGTTTCCTTCATACCGCGGATAACTGTTTACACAACACTCGTGTTCACAACACGCCACAGGCGCACACCATGGCCACAGAACAAATTCAAATAGAAAAGGAACCCTGTGCTACTCAACATCACATCACATTAATGTTCTGTCCATTCTTGGGGGGAAGGGAAATGCGGCCATCTAGGGCCCCTCTGGGTGAGATGGGATCTCTGGTAGTCTTCAGAGTGCACTAGGGATGGAATGAGACCAAGGGGCGTTGCTGCCATGCGCTGGAGTGAGCCCACGCCACCTCGTGCTCACATTCCTGCCTCTCCGGGCATCACTGCAGCTGAACAGTCCCTGGCGCTGTGTGGCGGCGGGTCTGCCCGGCTCTACTCACCTTCAGGTCCCGGTGGACCACGCCCATCTGATGGCAGTGGAGCACAGCCTCCAGGATCTGCTGAATGCAATGACTGCATGCAAACACCAGGGGGCGTGTGTTAGTTCCAAGCTGACACTCACTGTCTGTACACCCTCAGCGAGACCTGGTCCAAGTGCAAACTAGCAGACGACCGGGGTCCGGTCTGTACCACCTTCAGTAACGCCAACACATTGCTCGAGCGGAGCCACTAAAAACCCCAAGCAGTCGAGAGATCTTGCCAGAAGCGAGCCACAATGCGGATCTAGCTTACTAAAACACGTTGAATCAGGAGCTTACTGCCTGGATATCAATTCTTGCAGGAAATGGACTGGAACACAAATATAATTTTTATCGCTGATGTGCTCCACCTCCTCGCTCCCGCACAACCACACTTTCCCTGTTTTCTCCCATTTTTCTCGCCTCATTCCAAGGCTGTCACATTAGCAGTTAAGGTACCATATTAAAGTTAAATTAAGATACATAATGAATTTTTGATAAATCATTAACTTCTTGTGCTTTAATTTAGCTGGCAATTATTATCTCTCGCCTGAGGGCTCGGCAGGCTCACATGGAGCAACGTGTGACCAGTTGTTCCACTACAGCAACCCAAGGTCTCAGAACAGAAGTGGTGTTTAGATCTACAGGCGCACATACATCACGGGCCAGATTTATCTCCAGAAAAAATGCCGGTCAGCCGGTCAGCCTGCCCCCCACCCACTGCTGGTAGTGTGCTGTTTGGAAAAGAAACGGGTCTGTTCTTCACATCGTCCTTCCCTTTTTGCTGTGATGTATATTTAGCCTGTAGATGAGCGAACTGAAAGAGGCGACATGCATTATCATTTCATCCTTTAGTCATTTTTGGGAGCAGTTGAGGAAGCAGGGCACCGTTTCACACACCCGCCCTCTACCCTTTCCCCAAACAAAAACAACTCCTTCGATTCAGATTTACGGACTCCATATACTGACCTTCAGGTCCCTGTGAACTATGCCATTTAGGTGACAATGATTTACACTTTCTAGAATCTGCTGTATACAATGACTGCAAAGATACAAGGGTAGAATGGAAGGGAGAACATTTTAAGGCACATAATCACATTGAATACAAAATAAAATAAAAGTTCAGATGAAACAAACAAACAAGAATTACATTTCCACATTTTTTTAGCTTTAAATAATGCTGAATAAAGCTAATTCTGGTTCTAACAAAAAAATGACATCCAACATAGAATTTGTGACATGGTCAGACAAAACAATTTGAGCTGTGTTTTTTCATCATTGCAAGTCTACAAATTAAGTAATTTGAAAACAGAAGTGGGAATTTCCATATCCAGGGAGAAAACTGTATAAATAATTCCCATAACATTCAGGGAAAATGCTTCAGAGACATAAAATTTGTGGGTGTTTCTCATACACACCTAAACTGTTTAGAATCTGAGGTCACAATTAAACATAGGTGTTAAAACAAGAGGGTGAACACAAATGACGTGGCAGGTGAACAGTGGTTAAAAAAAATGAAGGGACACATTTACTGCCTTGGCTTAGAAATGGGAAACCAACATCTCCGCTAGGCTAGCAGTGAAGGTTAAAGACACAGCACTGTCAAGCTATCGGCAGCCACTGCAACTTGAGTTCGATCCCCAGCCAGGGAGCAACCCACATGGGGCAGCAGACCTCTCCTGACTCACCTGCTGCTCCCCTCAGCAGTGTATTTCATTCAGTCTGCCTGTTCTGTTCCCCACTCTGTCTCTGATGAGTCCTCTCACCCCCCTGCATCTCTGGCCTGTACACCCCCACCCCAGCTCTTGTATGCATAAATAAATAAATCTTTTTAAAAAATAAAAAATGAATACAGGCTGCGATCTGTAATAAATGCGGGCTATCGCATCGGATGCAGACTGCATCATGCCACAGCAGCAAGCAGGTCAGCATCTCTGGTCTCAAAGTCCAGATAGCAGCAGCATTTAAAAAAAGGAAAAATATAACATTTTGGGCCTCCCTGGTGGCCTAGGGGTTAGGTCTCAGTGCTATTACTGATATGGCCTGAGCTCGAGCCCAGGCCAGGGAGATACCCACATGGCACAGCAGACCTCTCCTCTCACCTGCTGCTCCCCTCAGCAGTGTATTTCAACAGTCTGCCTGTTCTGCTCCCCCCCCTGCCTCTGGTGAATCCTCTCACAACCCCCCCCAAACACACACACCTCTGGCCTACACCCCAGTTCCTGTATGCATAAATAAATCAATCTTTAAAAAATGAAGGGAAACTGAACAAGTCTCCAACAACAGGGAGAATTTAGGTGAACCCAGGACAAAACAAATCCCTCTTCACTAAAGGATACTCTGTGGAAGAGTTAGGAACTTATGTAAGATTTAAAATCACCTGGAGCACTAATTGTTCAACACATTTCCACACACCTCTGTGAAGGAAAACTTTTACTTTTTGCTATGTCAAAGTACACAGTCTCTGCTCCTGTTACTAAGGTTTACTGATTAAATCAGAGATCGGTGTCCTTAGGGTCTCAGGGGCTGTCCTCAGACACACACTGACACAGAACATCTCACACTGATGGATTTTGTACAGTTCACTGTGTGAGTCAAAGGCAGGAATATACAGACCTACGTTCATTTAGGGGTTAAGCGAACATTTGAATGAGGACATTTTCAACCATTTAATGCACAAAATAATATTACTGCAAAGTACATTTTTGATTTTAAGAAAGCATATAAATCATCATTAGGTTTTTAACAACATAAAGGTCAAAAAATTGATCATGACTGATTTTACCATCCAGAGACTTTCATGCTGGCTGCCTTGACTCATACATCTTCATTAGGTGTTATTAGTTGTTTTTTAAATCATAATTCTTTTTCTCTCTACCATAACACTCACTTTCTACACCTTTTTTTCCAGGAATATGTATTTTACCTTCTCTTTTCAAAGAAGTCAGTGTAATTTGTTAGAATAACAGAAAATAAAGTAGTAAACAATAATCCATCTTAAAAGAACTTTGCCAATTTTTACTAGTGAGAAGAGATTCAATTTTCATGTTTGTGAGAACCATTAAGAAAACAGACTAACAAATGATTTGCTCTCTCTGCTTGAATATACTCTTTATAGGTATAGTTGGGAAGATGCTGTTTCTTTTCCTTGATTTTTTTGTGGGATCTAGACTGAAAAAAGAACCTCTAGTGAATTCCATAACTTAAGACAGTCCTACATATGACTCAGGAGATACCCTATTGCCTATAGGGGTTTTCAGAGTGAGAATGCTCTCCATTTAATTTCAAGCAATGCTTATCAAGTAATAACATTAAATTTGTAAAAAGAATAAATGAAATTCTCTAATTCTCTTAATTAAAATTTTTACTCTCGGGCCTCCCTGGTGGTACAGGCGGTTGAGCGCAGCATTCCAAAGCTGTCTGCAGCCTCTGCAGTGTGGGTTCACTCCTGGCCAGCAGAGGAGCTACCCACATGGCACAGCAGACCTCTCCTGTCTCGTCCACTGCTCCCCTCAGCAGTGTATTTCAGTCAGGCTGCCTGTTCTGTGCCCCACTCTGTCTCTGGTGAATCCTCTCCCCCTCCTGCACATCTGGCCTGTACCCTGGTTCTTGTATGCATGAATAAATAAATCTTTAAAAAAATTTTTTTTACTCTTGGGTAAGTGGGAAAATAGTTCTTTCCCAGGTAGATGTGAAGCCCCTTTTGAGGAAACTCCCATGAGGACTGGGGGTAAATTGAACAAGTGCCAATTCATTCATCTTAGTATAAGTGACATGGAACTTTCTATTTCATTTTGGCAGTGAAAATCCCATTAAGAAATTAGAGAGTACTCATGGAGATAGGATTTGCCCAATGTCATAAAACCATGGCAGAGACCAAGAGGATGACTCGAGGGGGGAGCCGTTGTAGGCAGTTAGCCCTTGGGCAGGTGGGGATCTGCATTCAGCTCCACCAGGGCCAGGCTGCAGCGCCTCTGGAAGCCCCGAGAGCACTAGACAACGGGGCAGGCCATCGGCCATCAGTAGCTGAATTGTTGTGACATCTCAGTATATGTATAATGAATATCTAATAAGCCCACTGCTCATGACCAGTCTCTGAAACAGTTGCCAGCTCCAGATTATATACAAGGGACATTAATACCAATCAGGCCAAGTCATGGCTAAGCAAGTAGATTTACAGTCTCCATCTTAACTCCAGACAGCATTGCCTCTGGGAAGCCTAGGAAGTCTCAAATGAGACAGAAGGTTAGCCATGTTGAATTTCTGCAAAGATTTTCCCAATGAGCAAGACTGAAGAGTTGTGAACATTCTGAGGTAGCTGAGTTCCAAGGGCTTTCACAAAAGTGAAACAGCTAACATGAACACTTTCAGAGTGCACTAGAGCTTGGTAGATGGTGTCTCTTTATGGCCTCTGACTGGGCATGGGCTGCTCAGTGGAACTTTCTGTGATGACGGAAATATTCTGCAAATGCTACATAGCCACCAGCTACTTGTGGCCATCAAGCACTCGACATGTGGTTAGTGCAACTTTTAATTTAATTTTAAATCGATGAAATTTAAATCGACATACCCACACGTGACTAGGGGCTTCCACACTGAACAGGGCAGGATCTAGAGATTGGAGGTCTATAGTTGGTGAGCTCTGATCTTCTCTAAAAAGCCTATTTCTCTAGCACAAGTCACTGCAGTCAGCCTTTTTTTTTTTCCCCAAATCAACTATGCAGTCCTATCATAAATGCTAGACAGAAATAAAGTTGAGGCCAGATTCATTGATTTTTTTTTTCCCCCCAGAGCATCATCTTAGAAATCCTTGAGAAAGAGAAGCCTCAATTAAGGACTCATCTTGAGAAGAAATCAGAGTTGGTGTGAGATGGTCACACATCCTAAGTGTGGCGATGCCTTTGTCAGGATGTCTGTGTCCTGACAATGAGTGTCATGTTCATGCTGAGTGTCATGTCTCGCCTGGGGCCAGTCACTTACCTGGCATCAGCTTCGCTGTAATATTCTCTCGCCACTATGTCTTCAAATAGCTCTCCCCCGGTGACTCTGTGGAGACAAACAGGAGATAAACATTGAGAAAGAAGTCAAATCAGGAGATTTGCATGAGAGTTCACACTGAATTTTTATTTGCAGATTGCTTTAACAATTATTACCAAAACGAAGCACTAGACACCAGCACGAGAATTATACTTCACATAACCAGCAATCTGCGTTAATCACACTTCTGTCCTTTCTATTTGCCCTCGTGTCACTGGATCGTGAGGACACAATTTTGTGTGCACGCGCTGGATACTTCCAGGCTATCGCTTGCAGAAATGGTTTCCATCCAACTCTGCATGTCACCTCTCCAAATATGAACTGCGGTCTGATGATCTGTGGGCCCAGCACAGGAACTTCTTCTCCATAGAAATGGAAGACACACCTCATCAGGGCTGGAGGGGAGCCTGCAGGCTGAGTTTGCCCCAGGGGTTACTCGTCTAACCCTCAAGAACGTGCTTTTCGGGGCTCAGGTGATGTTCCCAGCTACCGACCATGCGCAGGCCCAGTGGCTTGCTTTCCTCCCACACACTTGCCAGTAAAGCAAGACTTCAGGCTCCCGTGGTGACCTGGGCGGCAGCAGGGACGCGTGCCAACCAGGGCCTTCCTGTTTGTCTGCTCTTTAGGCAATGGTTCCCTAGTTCCTTCAGGAACTGCCTGCACAGCGTGGGTTGCAAGGTTCCCTAAATAAGGAGGTGGAACTATCTTTGGGATTCATTTCTTCTCCAAGCCCCCAAGATTGCTGCTTTGGGTCTAGAATTTCCTAACCATTGATTCCCTGGTGTAGACTTGGGGTTTTTTCCTCCCCTAAAAAAAACATGTTTTGCAATTTCAAAGTAATATAATTTTGTAGTAAAACTCCAAAAATATGGAAATGCACCAAGACCAAGTGTGCCTCTATTTTCTAGTCACAACTCCACTTTCCAAAATGAACTAAATTTAATAGGATGCATACTGTCAACTGTTTGTGTATCTTGAAACATTTATACTTCCCCCTTGCAAACAGGTACATAGGAACACACACTTTCCTTATAAAAGTGGGATGGTGCGATGTACGTAAAGTGAAGGTTGTGCCCTTCACTTGAAATCATGGACATTGATTCACATCAGAAGTATCTGCCCCCTTTTAAAATAAGTAATACATAGAAAAGTGAGACTTGAGACTTGAGATAAGTCACACTTGAGACTATTTCTAGGATATAAATGAACAGGCTAGTGACCACGGGGATACCAGAGGGGGTTCCATAAAAAGAGGACGTTTCAGGGGCCTCCCCAGTGGCACAGCAGGTTGAGCGCAGTGCTGTCTGGCCACAGCCTTTGCAGCGCGGGTTCAATTCCCAGCCGGCCAGGGAGATACCCACATGGCGCGGCAGACCTCTCCTGTCTCACCTGCTGCTCCCCTCAGCAGTGTTTTCAGTCCGTCTGCCTGTTCTGCTCCTGGCTCTGTCTCTGGTGAATTCTCTCGCCCTCCTGTGTCTCTGGCCTGTACCCCAGCTCTTGTATAAATAAATAAATCTTTAAAAAAAAAAGAGGAAGTTCCAGGTCCCTGCCCTACCTACTGAGGGGCAGAGCTGAGTGGCCAGGGGAATACAGCAAAGACTTGGAGAGACATAGGTGCCAAGAGACAAATGAAGAAGGGTTCCTGGCTTCTCAGCCTTGGACTTGCACCAGGGACTTCAGGGACTCGGAGGAGACACATGGAGAGGCTGACAATGGCTGCCTACATCTTGACTTGTATTTGATTTTGCTTCTTTATCCCACACTTGCTGGGCCCCTCTGCCCCTTCCTGTGGGTCCCCACCGGAATGGTGCCTTAGACTTGTGGCAGGCTTTGGGGCCGCAGCAGCCTTGCTTTGGGCTGACCCTATTTGGTGGGTAACTGCGTATTTTTATTGGGAACTATTATCCTTTCTTCTCTCTCTACGCACCAATTCTATTAAAGTTCTTTCACACTAAGAGTGTGCTTTGTCTTTATGGGGCAGAGAGTAGGGTCTCTTCATTATTATCTTTGGTTACTTATTAACATTTTAAAGGGCACATTTATTAGAAGAAAAAGAAAAAAGAGACACCTGCAGAGTCACGGGCTGGCAGGAAGGCTAGGAGGAGGATCCCTCAGGGGCATGCAAGCCTGGCAGTCCAGGGCTTTCTGTTGCTCTGCCTACTAAGAGCACCTAGGAAATCTTTATTTTTCTAAACAGTTCTGGATTGTTAAAATATTTAATAAATATTGATCAAAAGTTTATTTAATTTATCAAAAAGTCATTAAATTTCAGAAAATGGCTGAATTAAATTTAAATTGTCATTAAATTTCAGAAACTGCCCAAATCTATTTGTTACTTCATGTGAACTGTCAGATCTGAAATCACTGGAATCTTCACTTACGGATCTTTGTTACTTTAATACCTAAACTAATGTCTAGCGCATAATACTTGCTTAATTAATGAGTGCTAAGGAACAATTAAGTGTATTTGCCAAGTCAGAAAACCACGCCATTCAATTCAAGTTTGGATTTCATAATGCTCTTTAAAAAGAAAACACTCGAATTTAGCTACGCAGGGCGGCAGGTTTGTATCTGAAGGGGTTTGTATATATTTGAAGTTCTGGAGGAAGAACATTCTGGTGGTTTCTATGAACTATTAGTAGCTATTGAACAAATTTAAGGGGTGTAGAGTTTCAGTCCGATTTCGGAGTCTGCCACGAGCTGTCTCTGACAGCATTCTCTCTCATTTTCTGGTATTTCTTCTTCCCATTAGTTAAAGAGGTCCTTGGGCCCGTGAAACCACGTTATCCTTTCTGCTCTGGGGATGACAGATGTCTGGGGAGGGGCAGATGCAGTTCCATGAAGACATGGCCGTAAAGAGAGCCTGCCGCACTTTCTGAAGCTAACACGTTCCGACACGCGCATTATTGCTTAATGGAGCACAAAATGAAGCAGTAGTTATACAGATTTTTGAAAATTTTTCGTGTGCTAAGTGGAATTTTACACAAAGCCACAAGATAATTCAATCTGATGAATAAACTCTGAGATGAATTAGATTTTTTGCTGGGAGAGGCCCGCTGTGCGCTGAGGCCCGCCGGTGAGGTAACAGCGAGCACCCACCTTGAGGCTCCAGGCTGCTAGCAAACACAGAACATTAGCAGAAATAAAAACAGACCTCCGGGACCAGGAGGAGAGACGATGCCACAGAGCAAAAAGAGAAATACTTTTGAAACTGTTGCTCTGATTTGTAAGGGTGTGGGCTCATTCTGGGTTAGCTTGCCTGTATATCTGGAACACATCAGAAGCGGCTAAAGATGTTGCATCTTGGATAAAACATTTATAAAATGTGGTGAGCTATGCAGCCTCAACTAGGAGGCGAAGCAGCTGATAGGGAAGAAGCGGGGGATGGGGAACGGTAAACGGGGTCACACATACCAGGACCTCCAACTGCTGTGGAGATAAGAACCAGTGCCTTAGGCAGGGGAGGGGAGGGCCAACTCAGAAAACTGCAACGGGCAGCACCCTCCTGCTCCCACCATCTGGAAAACTCCACGGCAGGGCCCAGACTGTCCCTGGGAAGAAGAAGTAACCCCATAAAGCAGAACAAACTTGAGAGGAGGTGGGCCCCAGACCTACATGAAAGGCTCTGGGCTGAGGCTGTGGGATCCTGTGAGCCAAGGCTCATCAAGCCACCCTGCTGGCGGGGAGGGACAAAGACTTCTTTCCTTTGCCAAAGACCTTGTGCTGCCTGGCATTCGGGTGGCTGCTATGCCCCGTGCCCAGGCCACGTGGAACGGGGGGCGGTAAAAGGTGTCTGTACTCCTGTGGGGAGCCCAGCGCCCTGCTTCCCTCTGGTTGGACAGCGGCAAACAACAGAGCTCACCACCCACTCAGGCAAGCGCCGGCCACATCTCTACAGCCACCTCCTGACATCCCTGAGGGAGACGTGGATGCCACTCCCATTGTACAGATGAAGCAACTGGAGGTACAGAGACTCTTCCAGAACACACACACACACACACACACACACACACACACACACACACACAGAGTTTGCTCATTCTATTCTGTGCTGCCAAGCAGCTGCCTCTAGGGCACCCAGTGGGGAGCAGGAAAAGGGCAACTCAGGGGTCTCTGCAGCCCAAGGGATCCAACAGATGACTTGGAAGAATGCCGGTGTCCAGGCACTCCCCCTTTAACCTGTGATTTAAGCCCCAGGATGACAGTGCCAGCCAGGACTGACTGGTCAGGGTGAAGCTGGGCAGGACCCACTGAGAGCTCTACCACTTTCTTTACCACATGGGGCCATCCCAGGCCTGGCAGGCTCATCAGTACCTGAGGTGAGGGCCCCATCAGCACCAGGCCCCCGCCAGGTGTCAGCAGCACCTTGTCAGTGTGTTGGTAGGCCAGGCCCACTGTTTCCAGTGACCAAGGTTGCCCTAGGTCCCCCTTAGGACACATAGTCTATGGAGATACATGGAAAACTGGTCTCCTCGGCAGTCATCCAGCCAAGCCCTTCGGCAATGGGGCCTGTGACTATCTCCGGCACCGTCCAGGTGTGCCCGGAATACAGAGGGAGGTGAAGAAACCTTTGCTGAGCAAATGAAGCACCAAATAGCTAATGGGTGACTGAAACCACAAATGCCAGTATATCACTTTATCGTTTAACCTGTATTTAAGCTAATATCGTAAGGTGAAGTGGCCTAACTACCAATCTTATTATTATATACTAATCTCTCACCAGATCTTTTTTTTTTTTAAAGATTTTAAAGATTTATACAAGCACTGGGTACAGTCAGAAGCGCGGGAGGGTGAGAGAATTCACCAGAGCCAGAGCAGGGAGCAGAGCAGGCAGAAGACCGAAGTACACTGCTGAGGGGAGCAGCGGGCGGCAGGAGAGGTCTGCGTGCCATGTGGGACCCTCCTCCGGTGGCCGGGGAGCAGCCAGGGATCGAACCGGCGCTGCAGAGGATGCAGGCAGCTTCGCAACCCAGCGCTCAACCGCTGCGCCACCGGGGAGGCCCTCTCAC